ATTTTTCTAGTTTTCTCTGCCTGTTCTCATGTGGCTTCTCTGACTCGCCCTCACGCTGATCTCTCCTGTAACGTGATCCTTGTGAGTAAATGAAAAACTGCACACAAGCCGTGACAGTCAGTCCTACAGAATCATACAAATTGTAGTAACATAACATTAATTATTATTATAAAAATTATAAACACAATTAAAAAAAGTTAAATCGTTTTAATGTATAAGAGTATGAACTGACACAGACGAAGCTAGCTAGCTTGTTAACTTGAGAATACGTACCCCCATACTTCTAAATTAACGCCCTCATCTGTCTTTATAGAGGGTGTGACAGATACTAACCCCAAAAATTTGATTGACATCATTCACCATAATCTGTGGAAGATCTTGCAAACAGCGAGTTTAAAAACCATGCTGACAGCGCTCATTGAAAAAGTAGATCTTCGTTTATTGCTTTGTTTATCGAGGTGATGGGCACGTTTACAGGTTTGCATGCCTCACAGGGACGATTACCATATTAATTGGTCAGAAAATGAGCTCCGATAGGAAAGAATGTACCTTTCTTTGGTTTCATAAAGATTGTATAAACAGAGAATATTTGTTTGGTGTGACACTTCAAAGTTTCTGAAGACATACAGTGGGTACGGAAAGTATTCAGACCCCCTTAAATTTTTCACTTTGTTATATTGCAGCCATTTGCTAAAATCATTTAAGTTAATTTTTTTTCCTCAATGTGTACACAGCACCCCATATTGACAGAAAAACAGAATTGTTGACCTAGGGTGCTTCTACTAAATACTGAGCAAAGGGTCAGAATATTTAGAACCATGTGATATTTCAGTTTTTATTTTTTAATAAATCTGCAAAAACGTCAACATTTCTGTGTTTTTCTGTCAATATGGGGTGCTGTGTGTACATTAATGAGGGAAAAAAAATTAACTTAAATTATTTTTTGCAAATGGCTGCAATATAACAAAGAGTGAAAAATTTAAGGGGGTCTGAATACTTTCCGTACCCACTGTATCTCTGTGTGGCAAATATTTGCTGAGTTTCAGTTCATTTTAGTTACGTGTTTCAGAAAGATATATTTGGAGACAAAAACAGCAGAAAGTGCACCCTGTTTATTTTCTTTATTTTACAAAAGCTCAAAGTTTTGTTTTTATTGTGAGTGTACACAAATAAAAGTAGACCCTTTGTAGTTTCAAATAGGGATGCATTGATCCGATATTCAGTATCGGTATCGGCTCAGATACTGGCATTTTCTGCTGGATCGAGTATCGGTCAGACGAGACCGATCCAAATCCGATATTTTGCGTTTACAATTCTGTGTTATTGTTAAGCCCCACGAAAGCCACAAAAACATTATAAAGCACCATAAGGTTTCTGTGCACTATATTTCAAGTGTTCTGAAGCTGTTCCATAGTTCAATGTGAGGTACAGATGAGTTGAGGTCTTCTCTCCGCTGTGGCTGTCATCCTCCATTCAGTATTCAAACTGTGTCGCGTTCCGTTACTAGGCAAGGCAAGTTTATTTATATAGCACATTTCATACACAATGGAAATTCAAAGTGCTTTACATAAAAGAAAAGAAAATAATAATAATAAAAAATAATCACAACAATAAAACAAGGAATTAAAAAATTATTTAAGAGGTTTAAAATGAATTTAAAACAGTTAAGTATAGAACATGATTATACATAAAATATAGTGCAATCAGTTCGGACATTGCACCGTGCTCAATCAATAAATGCACAGCTAAGCAGATGAGTTTTGAGTCTGCATTTAAATGTGACTAATGTTTTAGCACATCTGATCTCTTCTGGAAGCTGATTCCGACTGCGGGCGGCATAATAACACAGATTCCCCTTGTTTTGTGTGAACCCTTGGTATTTCTAACTGACTCAATCCTAATAATCTGAGTGGTCTGTTAGGTTTATATTCAGTGAACATATCTGCTTAATTCTTGCAATATTTTTCAGATGATAGTGTAAGGACCCACCCGCCAGCCCAAAAAGCGGAATCCAGCGGCCTGGTCGAAGGTTTAATGCGTATCCGGTCTTTTACTTGCGCTTCTGAATTTATCAGGACTTAGTTTCAATTTTGTCTAGCTCCGTGTTCAATCTGACTCCAATTTCACGTGATCATTAAATTTAGGCAATATTTCTAATCAAAAGCTGATCACAGATATCGATTGTTTATTAATTTAGATATTTGAGTATTCTGTAAATCCCATACTTTCAATTATTCGTTCATCAGGGACCCAATGCCGCTCAGAGATACGCGCCCCGGGTTTGCGGTAAACTCTCGGACGCAAACTAGCTAGTCTGATATTAGTCAGAGGGTGTAATAAGTTAACTAATACCTTAACATGAAGGGGAAAAACAACAGGTTCACAAGATACATGATATGTGGGAAATGCGTATTCTTAATGAACTTTGGGTGAAACCTTTTGGGGGGAAAAAGGGAGAGGCAGAGAGGCCAGGGGGAGAAGGGGGTCGTAAATGGGCGAGGAGAGAGGCGTTGTTTGCTCTCTTTGAAGATTTCTTCTCCAGATAAGTTTTATTGTTTTTGCACAGATATAATACACTAGGCATCAATATTTTGTGCTTTAAACATTTCTATGTGGTGTGCTTTGACTCAGTGTTGCTTCAAGCGAATCATTCAGTGCACGGGATGCGCATAAGCGCTTTATGCCGCTCTGTATTGGAGCCTTTCGTATTATAATACTTTTGTGCAATAAAATATGGCAGCTGGATGCCAGTAATTTACTGTAAAAATGTTTACAGTATTATTACTGTAATTGCATTTACAGTACAATGTCTTTACTGTGTTTTATTTACAGTATTGCTGTATTTTCATTTACAGTATCAGTATTATAGAGTTTATTTTCATTTAGTTAAACATTTTTTACCTGTAAAAAACAATCCAATTGTGGTACTGCACTGTAAACCATGACTTTTACCATCCCAGTCCACCCCCCCACCAAAAAAATCACAATAACTCATGAGCTTTAGTTCTGATAATACTATTTTTAATTGTTGAACATTTTCTTTTTAAAAGTACAAATTACAAATCTTGACCTCTCAGATGCACTACCTTAAAAAAGGGCATCACCAGAGTCCCCTGAGAACTTTGTATCATGGAAAAACATACACATACTGAAAAGCAAAAATTGGCAAGTGTACTACCAGTCAAACGTTTTTGAATGGTAAGATTTTTAATGTTTTTAAGTCTCTTCTGCTCACCAAGCCTGCAATTATTTGATCCAAAGTAGCAGTAATATTGTGATATTTTACTACTTAAAATAACTGCTTTCTATGTGAATATCTGCTAAACTGTAATTTATTCCTGTGATCAAAGCTGTATTTTCAGCATAACTCCAGTCTTCAGTGTCACATAATCCTTCAGAAATCATTGTAATATGCTGATAATTTTTAAAAAATATTATCAATATTTAAAACAGTTGAGAATTTTTTTCAGGATTCTTTGATGAATAGAAAGATCCCAAAGATCAGCATTTATCTGAAATAAAAAGGTTTTGTAACATTATATACTATACCATTCAGAAGCTTGGAGTCAGTATAATTTTTTTCTTTGGGAAGAAATTATAGAAAATACTACTTTTATTTAGCAAGGATGCTTTAAATTGATCAAAAGTGATGATAAAGACATTTAGAATGTTACAAAAAATTTATATTTCAGAAATGCTGTTCTTCTGAACTTTCTATTCATCAAAGAAACTTACAAAATTCTACTCAGTTGTTTTCAACATAATAATAACAATAATAATGATAATAATAGTGTTCTGAGCAGCAAATCAGAATATTAGAATGATTTCTGAAGGATCATGTGACTGGAGTAATGATCCTAAAAACTCAACTTTGATCACAAGAAGAAATTACATTTTAAAATATATTCAAATACAAAACAGTTATTTTAAATAGTAAAAATATTTCAAAATTGTACTGTTTTTGCTGTACTTTGGATCAAATAAATGCAGGCTTGGTGAGCAGAAGAGACTTCTTTAAGAAACATAAAAAAATCTTACTGTTCAATAACTTTTGACTGGTAGTGTAAATAAAATACAGTAAACAGTTGTTTGTGGTGGTGTTAAATTTCAGTCATTTTGAAAGTAAAAGTTAAAAAGCTCTCCGATGAGAAACAACAGTTTCAAACTCAATCCTGTTCCTTGCGTCCCCCTGCTCTGCATCTCTCTCTCTCTCTCTCGCTCTCATTCAGCTCCGCTCCAACAATTAACTGTTCCACCATTTATACACTTATTTTCACATAGCTATGAGAAACGTTAATCATGGATGCGTGTGTGGTTGTCGTACTGTATTAAAACTTTAATCAGGATAAAACTGTATATTAAAAGCTAACAGAAGCAGTAGAATTTACAAATAACAGCATATCTAAAAGTAGGCGACAAGAGCCGTGCTTGCACAGGTTCTGCACGATCCTCTTCACTAATATCCTCTGCGTCTCATACGGGTTCAAATTGATAAGCACAATAGACGACGCCATTGTTTACAATACAACCGGAGCACATGCTGCTGAGGTGAGGGGCGGGACTTTTAGACGTACACTAGAGGAGGTTTAGCCAATCACAACACACTGGGCTAGCTAACCAATCAGAGCCCATCACCTATTTATGAGGGAGGGACTTTATAAAAGCAGGAAATGATCAGTGTGTTTCTCAGAGAAGGGACAGAGCGGTGTGGAATAAAGGTAAATTATGTCAACAAACAAAAAAAGTGTATATATATATATTTTTTAAACGAAGCATCAACACATGTTAGACTGCACCCCATAAACACAATCAAGCCTAGGAAAAAGTCAACCACCCCTTTAATAATGGAATGCTTCTTTCTGCCCTGTTTTTTTTTTCTTTTTCTTTGATAATATGCATTTTTAGTATAAACTCAAATGCATTGGGTATAAGAAAATTATGTAAACTCATTTTTAAATCAACATTTGTTTATTCAGTACTGCATTTATGGTCATTTTCAGGGGAAACCGGAGCTGATATGCCCTAAATGTAAACAACAATGGTCTTACATTGAAGTTCGTAAATTAGCCAAACTTACACCTGAAGAACATCAAAACTTTGAGGAAAATCTTGCCAAGAATGCTGCTAGAAAGATGGTAGACATCAAGAATGTAAGTATTCTTCCTTCACATTTACTGAGTAGTCATGTTTTAAAGGTAGGGTAGGCATTTATTTTCATAAACACTTTTTGTCTAAATAATGTTCACCAATGCGATGTTCTACCTGCCTGTGAACATATGTATTTCTGTACCTCCATGCACCCTGCTTGTGCAGACGTCACACATCATCAGCATGTTCCATGAGGCTTTGCAGAGTTGTAGACCAGGGATGGGCAACTTTGGTAGTGACAAGGGCCAGCATTTTTTTCTCCTTTATACCAAGGGGCCAATTACTAATCCACGTCCACACACGTTTTTCACCATCTTACTCAATTTCCTTAAATTAAAGTATAACTAATGTAATTTGTTTTTTAAGATTGTATTAACTATAAAACTTGTGCAGTTATGCTAATTCAGAAGGAAAACTTTGTTGTCAGTGGACAGAAATATTACCCCAAAAAGCCAATGTAAACATCTCAGTTGCATTGTCTGTAAATTTGCAACAAACAAATGTACAGAGGTCCTTTTTATTTTCCTTTTTATTAGTGGCCTACAGAACATTCTCAAAACAACCTAAGAGGACAGTTAAAAAAAGCTTATTAAAAACAAATTGTTATTCCAAATGGTATCATAAAATAACCTGGTATCTGCAGGATTTTTAAAATCACAGTCAAAAGTATCAATTATTATATTAATTTAAACAATTATCAATTAACTATTATATTAAATAAATTACTAATCCACGTCCACACACGTTTTTCACCATTTTACTCAATTTCCTTAAATTAAAGTATAACTAATGTAATTTGTTTTTTAAGATTGTATTAACTATAAAACTTGTGCAGTTATGCTAATTCAGAAGGAAAACTTTGTTGTCAGTGGACAGAAATATTACCCCAAAAAGCCAATGTAAACATCTCAGTTGCATTGTCTGTAAATTTGCAACAAACAAATGTACAGAGGTCCTTTTTATTTTCCTTTTTATTAGTGGCCTACAGAACATTCTCAAAACAACCTAAGAGGACAGTTAAAAAAAGCTTATTAAAAACAAATTGTTATTCCAAATGGTATCATAAAATAACCTGGTATCTGCAGGATTTTTAAAATCACAGTCAAAAGTATCAATTATTATATTAATTTAAACAATTATCAATTAACTATTATATTAAATAACATATAAGTAAATCTTAGTGTCTTCATTGTTTAGATTTTTATAGTGCATTAGCTTTTTGTCGATCCACTGGTTCACATTTAAAAATATGTAGCAAAAATAGCAGATGGGAAAAAGCTAATTCGTTCTCTGCCAGTAGGTTTCACTTTCGGAACTGCAGAAATATAGTGGTTTCTCCGGTAAAAGCTCAAAAGTTTATTCAGTGAAATCGTAGCCTTTTGAAGTTTAATCGTCATATTAATCCATATAGCAATTCTTGTCTTTCCGTCCCCAAAGACCTCTTATAATTGAGACTTTTTGTTCAATTTAAGAGTTTGCATGGCCTTAAATGTAAACCGTTTAACTGAAGACGTTTTAAGGACCTGGGGGAACCCTAATAAGAACATAGTTCAGTGCAAACATTTCTGTCATGCATTTGGCAAAAAGCTTTTGTTGCCTATGAATTTTACCTTTTGAAATTTGAGGCAAATGCAACTCTGATGTCCTCGTTGTTTGTGAGCAGTGGTGTACAGATTTCCAAACAATCCAAACATATGGGTATCCCCTTGAACTTGGTAAAAATATAATCTGTTTACCATCTTGACATGAAAATACTGTTTTCATGGCTAGCTTTTCATTTATTATTTGCTAATGTTAGTGAATGTTTACATTAGAGTGCATGTCCTACTGCGCTGAAATTCATAAGGAAAGAGGCTGCAAACTAGCGAACTCTCCTGGATGGAGATAGTATTAACATCATAAACTGAAAGCAATCTTTACGTGACTTGCTTTTCAAATGTTTTGAAATTGATCATCCGAGTCTAATATGATCCAGAGGGCCGTACTAAAGACCAGTTGCCCATCCCTGTTGTAGACCATCATTGAGCATCTTGCCGTCTTTTGACGCTTTGCTGAATCTGCTTCGTCTGTGCTCAACCTGAGTGTTCATGTATTTTGGAGGAGCCATGGCTCCCTCAATGGGACTAATTATATAATCACAGCTAAAAAAAAAAAAAAAAGGCTTATATTTTACATATATTTGAGGCTAGAATAATTTTCTACATCTAAGCTTTGACTTTTTTTAGGGTGCCGCCATTTATAACTAACTTTGTCCTATTAGGGTCAATTATTTTTGCCAAATCGTCTGAAACTACATACACAATCAAATGCATTTTCACTATGTGAAAAATTGTGAAAAGGTTTTGGTGTTTCAAAAAATATTAAAAGGCTTTATTAACATTCCATTTCACCTTGTGCTAGTATATTAAATTTAGAGCTCACATGTGGAAAAAGTCAAAAACTTGACACAAATTCAGAGACAACTTGGTTGCTGGAAAAAAAGTAAAACCACGTCTTTCTTTGCGTTCACACCGCCGCCGTCGAGAGCGTCAAAGTGGCCAGAAGTCATTCATTTTCATTGTGAGCCGGTGTCGAGCTGCGGCACGGCGCAACTTGGACGTTGAGGCCGTCGAGGAGAGTTGAAATCAGGTCAACTTTATGGTAATGAGCTATGACACGGTTCGTCGGCATCTGGCGGCAACCAATCGGAACGTAGAAGTCCACCGCTTGAGAGGATTCCAGAGAACGCAGTCCTGTGAACTTTGGTTCCGACCACATTAGTGCCCAAGCAAAATGTAGGAGAGGTTGATTATTGCTGTGGCGGGTTTCCCAATAATCTATGACGAGTCCCTGTGTGCATACAGGGACATAAATATAAAAAGGAGGCGTGGACCAAGGTGTCTGAGATTGTTGGTGTTCCTGGTGAGTTGCTGATGTGCATTAACATTATAGGAATAATAATCTAATGATATAATAAATAATAGTATAATAGTCCCAGTTCACTTTTAAACCTTTAAATCAATTTCCCTGATTATACTTCAGAATCAGAATCAGAATCAGAATGAGCTTTATTGCCAGGTATGTTTACACATACGAGGAATTTGTTTTCGTGACAGAAGCTTCCACAGTGTAACAGAATGTAAAAGAATACTTAAGTAACATTTTCAATGCAGGACTTTTACTTGTATCAGAGTATTTTTACAGTGTGGTATTAGTGCTTTATACATTATGAGGTAAAGGATCTTAATACTTCATCCACAACAATATTTAATGAGGTTAACTTATAACATCACCCTCCTTGTGGTCAGTCTGCACAAGATCAACAAGTGTGTTTGCTTTGCGACCCCTTTTAAATACAAGATAAGCATTCGATCTACGTCAGAGCATCCACGAATCTTTCTACAGCGTTGTTGGCAGGGCGGCCAGAGCGATTTTTGATGCTCTCGACGGCGGCGGTGTGAACGCACGGTTAGCGTTAAAAAATAAATAAATAAACGCATTTCTTGGAATTTCAAATCAGTGATTTGAAAAAGAAGAGTCGTGTTGCTTTTCACTTGTGTACAGTGTAGCCCACACTTTCCACACAACTCAATTTTGACTTTTTTGAGCATTTGCTTATCAGTATCGTGAGGCCGTAGCCAGTGGCATCTTTCCTAACCTCTGGTTGTAGTATGGATTACATCTTCAAAACTGGCATAGAATAATGTAACAAAATGCCTGATTTCTATCCTCCTTGAGCCTCAGCTTCTTCCTTTCTTACTATGACCTTATATTTCTGATGGACTGCCGTCACTATCAAAAGTATTTTCTGGAAAAGGTGCAGCTTTTCCTTTCTCTTTTCTTTAAAACTTATTAACATCAACATAAAACACTGCCTGCCAGTAGTGAACAAAAGTGCAGATACACATGAAATATGTACGGGATTGTTCATTATTTTATATGCAAAAGCTCTTTCTGTCTCTCACAGTGTCCTGGGTGTGACTGGATCATCGAGAGATCAGACTCATCTAATCTCAGCGTGAAGTGCACCGTTTGCTCTGTAAAGAATAAAAAAACCTTTGAGTTCTGCTGGCAGTGTTTGAGAGAATGGAAAGGTCGGCGTCCTCGATCTGATCGATGTGACAATGAAGGCTGCTGCGACAGAGAGCTGGATCTGCTGAGAGATTGTGCAACTATTACTTTAAAAAATGCTGCAAATATTGAATGTCCAGCTGTTCGTGCCTGTATAACATGTGGAATGCTAATTAACCACAACTCAGAGAAATGCAAAAACATTGTGTGCTCTCGATGTAATAAAGAGTTTTGTTTTGTCTGTCTGAAGCTCACACCTGAATGTCTGAAGACTAGTAGTTACTTTATTCCCTGTTCAGGTGGTGTGGCTCCACGACAGACTTCAATTCCACTTTGGAGAGATAAATAATAGATTACAAGCATGCCAAATCACATTATTACAAGCATGCCAAATCACATCATACGCACATTACTTTTGGCATGTGGAATATTTTTTGCATGTTTAGCTTATCTGGTTCATTTAAAAGTAAGTGTATAAATGTCTTGTGTATTTTCATTGTCACGATCTGTTGTTATGCAGTGAAAGAAACCACAAGACTGAATATTAAAGTGATTTAAATACAATTGGTATATTTGCAGGCAATTTCCTTGCAGACATGAGGAGTTATGTAAATTTACATGATTTACATTTACAAGTGTTGGCAGTGACATTTTTTTTGTTTTGCAAAATGTACTGCTTCAGCATCTGTAGGCTTTTTTTTCACATTTCTATGGTATACTGAAAAAATTAAGCGTTTAATGTTTTTTATTGGCAAAAAATGCGAAGAGTCAATGTATGTCCTAAACCGTTGGTTGGGAGCCTCATCAAAGAAAATAACTTTGCACCATCCAATCCTTATACTTCCTGCAGAATTTCAGGCTGTCCTTGATGTTCTTCTTGGAGAGAAGTGGCTTCTTTTTGCCCTTCTTGATACCAGGCCGTTGTACAAAAGATTTGGCCATCACTTGCATGTGCATGTGAGAACATAATGGTTGGAAGCACTTCTTCCTTTTAATAGCAATGAGACTACCCTTATGATCCACTCAGAGTGATTTATCATGACTAGTACTCGTTCACGCTTTCTTATCATGTGCTGATGATACGATTAGTGAAATTGTTAGCTGGTTCCAATAGTTTTGTTGCAATTATTTAAAAGGCATCTGCACACCAATCTAGAAACCATGTGAATTAGCACCACGACAACTGAAGCTGCAAATTTGCAAAACAAGAAAATTGTCTGTCCCCTGATGGAGTTTGGGTTCTTGCTGCTGTCACCTCTGACTTGCTTAGTCAGGAACACTTAATATTCAACAATATTATTGATCTGACTGTACTGATGCTGCTGAATGAGAACTGAACTCAGCTGGACGATGACATCTCCAGAACTGCATATATTAAATTAACTAATTTCACTTTGGACGAAAGCATCAGTGAAATGAATAAATGTAAACTAATTTAATTATTGATTATCTTTACAAACAGAGCTGAATCAACTGTGAACGACAGCTGAACAACAGCTGAAATGCATAATTTTCCTGTTTGCATTGTAAAGCTGATTTGAAACAATCTGTATTGTATAAAGCACTATATAAATAAAGGTGAATTGACTGACTTGATTATATTATCTATAAGGAGCAGTGATTGCAGGCTAAATTAACTAAAAGCATAAAATCTCTCTGATTGGTTAAATCCAGTCCAGCTGCAAGTTGATATTCTAAACCAAGAGTGCAGTGACTGGTATAGACACTATAGGTATAAGAAGAGGGTAGATGAAAGAAAATAAAGGAGAGGGCTACAATTTTTCAGATATTAAGAAAAGGCATGCATGCACGCATTTGTACAGTACTTCATGTGACACTGTCAGATAAAAGTTATCTCCATTCCTTTACAACTGAATACATATCTTTATAATTTGCAGATCTATGTCATAAATTGGTATTCATTAACAGCAGTCAAATTGTCAGTGAACACATTCATTTGCAATTTTTTGTATTTTAACTTCAGTTATATCATAAATTAATTCTAAGGTAATATGGTTATTTTATCATATAGTGATGATAGCTCAAATCACTATCACATCACAGAGTCTATATGTTCCCTGCAAAGCCAGTAAATTATTCATCATGATAGATTTAGTCTCACTGATTTGTACTGTTTCAGTATGTAATCAAGATTGAGTGAAATATTGGGTTTGTATACATTAACAGTAATAGGCTACGTTTTCGAACAAACATTGTTTATTATACATCATGGTATATTATGCATGTAAGAATTGACAGTTTAAAGTCCATGTGAAAATAGCTTATGTCTAATTAAAGAAAATTATGTTTGTGTATGCACAACTCCATTAACTATTTGCTCTGGCCTTCACTACCGCCCTGTTGCTGCTGGTTTGAAACTGCTGGCACTGTGGGTCTGCAGCTGGAAACTGCTGTGTGCATCTGCAGCAGGATGTTGCTGTCAATGGTAGCCACTGGAGACCATCTGCTGCCAGCTGTTGTTCAAAAATATTTGCCCTGTGTCCAGGTCTTCCATACTGTAGTAAGAGAAAAAAAAAAGTGAGATAGTATGTCCAAATTGATAACATTCATAAAACAGTAGGTGAAAAGTACCTGGATGAGCTATTACTCCTGGCATGATTCTGAAGTGTGCATCTACTGGACACAAGGCATTTGGCATCTGTTACAATTAGTCGGTGCCATTATATAATTGCTTGCTCCATTGGTAAATCATTTAAAAGGGTTTTAATCACAAAGCCAAATCTTAATGTGTTTCATATGCATGACCGTGTAACGTGATGCACTGTGACTCCGATGAACTTGTCAAATGTGTGTTGGTCAAGTTGTGAAATCAGAAACCCTGTAGTACTTTCACAATGATTTTTTTATTTTCTATTCTACAAACTTATAACAAATAAAATGTTGATGAAACAAAAGTCTATACAGTAATTTGAACATTCAGGCTGGTGCCAGAGTGAAATTCTGTCTTGAAGTTCATTAGCAAAAATGTAATTTGCAAAAGTAATTTGGGATTTAAACATATACATACACTTTACACGTTGTAGAAAATGCTGCTACCTTTATGTGATTTGATTGTCTGGCCCAAATCTTAATGAGAACACCTGTGGCTTCTTACGAATTAAGCCCTAGTCTCTTGCTGTCCCCATTTGCCTGCTTACTACTTAAATATGTCTACATATACTACAACACATAATAAACTTATGTGACCGGTGTAAGAAAATGAGTCAGCAATAGACTTTAGTCAGGGTAGATGCCACAATAAAACACAGCTTTGTAGGCCTACAGGCCAATTATTGGGATTGGACTTAATGTTCTATCTTTTTCAGAGATAGGATAGTCAGGGGTGATTGGGGCACAACCTACTGAGGGGATATTTTTAATGGTTTAAACATTTCCACACATGCTAGCATGATGAAACGTAGTGTATTTACTACTTGCCAGCAACACTATATAGAGGAAAAATGTCCAAAATCTAAAAAATCATGGAAAGATATTACTGAATTTAATTGACAAAAGTAAATTTCTTAAAGGGGTCATAGGATGCCCATTTTCCACAAGTTGATATTATTCTATAGGGTCTTAATAAAAAGTCTGTAACATAGTTTGGTTAAAAGTTCTCAATGGTAGTGTAAAAAAACAAATTTTTTACCCTGTCAAAAACAGCTCTTTTCAGATCAAGCCATTTTTGTAGCATTTTCCTTTAAATGTTAATAAGCTATGCTGACTCCGCCCCTCTCTTCCGAACTGCTCTCAGAGAGACTGTTTACTTTAGCCGCATTCATCGTGAAACTTGCTAATTAGCATATTATTAGGAAAGGCGATTTGCAAAGATTAATTACAAAACATTGTACTCACTTCTTCTGTAGATGAGGCTGGATCATGAATAATTTGCACGAACATTTATGTAGATCGGGGGCGCATTCCCTTCAGAAACAATGTAATCCACTCTGAGTTCAGCAGCTCAGATGTCGGGAGTAAATGCTATGTCCATTATTACATCCAACAACAGAACACCTCAATCACTTAGGAGTCATTCTTGTCTACAACTGCTCCAGCGGTGAAACAATGGCGGACTGATGACTGAGCTCCGTCAAGTTAATTCTTTGTCGTCTAATTTTTTATCTTAAAATCAATTTTATACACATTTTCGTTTCTATTACGTGTGAATATATCCCCTATCGTATTCTACAACAAAAACAATCAGAGCGCCTTGTTATCACTAGTTATATTTTTACTTCCCGAGTCCGCTATTAGCATATAGCCCGCTAGCATCGCCAGCGTGGTTGCCGCTAATCTCACTTACATTACTAATACTCTATTCACACACACTACCATTGTTTTACTCACTGTTACTTGCTTTAATGGCGGATGTGTGTCTACCTTTGAGTGCAGGTGAGGACACGTTCGAGCTGCATTCGGTGCAGATCGAGCTGGAGGACGTGGAGAAGCAGATCTGCGACCCAGCTGAGAGAGCGGAGAGCCACGCTGGAAACATCCCAGGCTGATGCTCACAAGTCCGGGGTAAGTTTACAGCGCACTGCTAACTCTCCCACCACCTCTACTCCGTGTGTTTCTCTGCACAGGCCCGGTGCACCCAGGACGCGATCTTCCCAGATGTCCTTCACTCCGGTGCCGGGACACCACGGACCCTGGGTGCAGCCGCAGCGGAAGACGCGAGCCAGGCCCAGGGCGACGACCTCTCCCCCTCCACCGCCTCCGGTCTTCGAGATCTCCACCCGGAACCGCTTCACTCCCCTCCGCGAGACGGAACGCGACGCTGTGATCATCGGAGTCTCCATTGTCCGGCACGTCCGTGCTACGTTAGCTGAAGGTAAAGTGCACACTCACTGTTTCCCTGGTGCTCGTGTTCTCGATGTTTCTGCGCAGATACCCGCGATCTTGAAGGGCGACGAGAGCCCCGGAGCGGTCGTGCTTCACACGGGGGCTAACGACACCAAGCTGCGGCAGACGGAGACACTGAAGAGGGACTTCAGGAGCCTGATCGAGACGGTGCGCAGCACATCGCCCGCGACGACAATCATCGTGTCAGGACCGCTTCCCACGTATCGACGAGGACACAAAAGGTTCAGTAAACTTTTTGCTTTAAATTAATGGGTATTGTCATGGTGTAAAGAACAGAAACTGCTCTTTGTTAATAATTGGAATCTTTTCTGGGAGCGTCCTAGGCTTTTCCGCACTGATGGCCTGCACCCCAGCAGAGTCAGAGCGGAACTCCTGTCGGACAACATCTCCAGGACACTACGCACCATATGACTAGTAAGTCAAATCTCAAATAACTGCCCTGATGACTTGTGTTCTACCCGCTTAAATGATAGAAGTACTTGTGCTGTCCAATCTACAAACCCGATTCCAAAAAAGTTGGGACACTGTACAAATTGTGAGTAAAAAAGGAATGGAATAATTTACAAATCTCATAAACTTATATTTTATTCACAATAGAATATAGATACGGTCGTGCTTCACACGGGGGCTAACGACACCAAGCTGCGGCAGACGGAGACACTGAAGAGGGACTTCAGGAGCCTGATCGAGACGGTGCGCAGCACATCGCCCGCGACGACAATCATCGTGT